GAATAGTTGTTTGTACCATGGTTGCTATATGGTCACCTGTGCCATAGTTACGTGGTCGTTTGTACCAAAAAACTGACCGTTTGTACCATAGTTACATGCTCATTTGTACCATAGTTACCTAGTTAATTTTAGTAAAAAAATGGCCGTTTATGCAAAGAAAATGGTCGCTTGTGCCAAAAAAAATGGTCGTTTGTGCCAAAAAAATGGTCACATGTGCCAAAAAAATGGCCATTTTGACCGCGTTACCGACAGACAGACAGACAGACGGACAGACAGACAGACACAGGTGAATTTCGGTTTCTAGACCCTAGCCTTTCAGTCTAGGGAATATCTAATTTGTTTTCCATTTACATGTTTTTTTTTATCAGGTGCTTGTTTAGTAACATCATCTTGACAAAGAAATTCCTCAATATCTTTTTGTAAAGTTGATGATATATCAGATTGAGAAGAGTAATCATTCGACAAATTAATACCTAATTTTAGTCTAAATTTGGAAACAGAACCACGTGGTAATTGTTGTTTTTTATCAATTAGTCGTTTAGTTGCACGTTTTTTAGCTCGTGGACTAACATTTTTAAGAAATAACTTTGTCGGTGACACAGTTGGTGTCTCATAATCTTTTTCAATATCTTCTGAATGTTGTTGAGACAAAGCTTTCTTCAACTTCAAATTTTGTTTACGTAATATGTTGATTTCATTAGATAATTTTTCATTTTCATTTTTCATTTTTCTTGTATAAGCTCGACGACGACGAATACCTTCAGTCCTTCTTAAATTTGTTCTGACCGTTGATGGTGATTGAGCAGTAGCTGTTATTGATTTAGCTGCATCTGATGGTACTTCAGCAGTAGCTGTTGTTGATTCAGTTGTATTTATTGATGTTTGTTGTGCTTCCGCCTTTAATCGTCTACATTTTTGTTGCCTAGCATTCTGTTTTCGAATATATTCTGAATTAAATAATTCCGATTTAAAACGTTTGTATTGTGATTTTTGATAGTATTTTCGATCATAATCTTCACGCTTTTTCTTGACATGAGAAGACATAGTTTATCTGGAAATAGAAGCTGAGATAGGATAGTTTATTCCAAGTTGCATTTTGTTTGAAATTCATACTATCAAATTTTCAAAGCAGTAGCAATGTACAGACTAGGCTCTTATACCAAAATTCAATAATCTGTGAGAAACAAATTAGTTAGTTCGCATGGTCGTAATAGCCATTTAAACATAAAAACCGGAAATATAAGCTTTATTTGCATTATTCGTAGTTATGCGATAGTTATCTGTATAAAAATCTAATATGGCTGTTTTTTTAAAAAATCTCGTGTGACAGGCAGATAGAAATCTCGTGTGACATTTTCACAGCATTTTTACCTCTATTATGCGAAAGGAACATTTTCCAACCTTGATATTTTCAGCAATATTAGACCACAAATGGCTGATAAAATGATAAAAAAATCAGCTAAATTTGGCTTGGTTTACAAGAGTTAATATAGTACACAAAGTATCAAATCTCGTGTGACATTTAGTGTGACAACTATATTTTGAAATTTGATTTGATATCCCTTTCTTAACGAGAGAAAATGAAACTTTCTTATCTTCTTTGGTAGTAATATTCCCCACGGATAAGCTTTCATTCAAAACCAATTCGATCAATTTTAAATGCTTTGTTAGGTAGAAAACGCGTTTTTAAATCTCGTGTGACACTATATTGACTATTGACAGTGCACATGATATTCGGAGAAAAATACGATGTAAACTTTGATGAAAGAACCAACAAGTCTTATATTCGTAACGCGTACACTGTCCACTCTAAACATCAACAATTGTCAAAATTCAAATGATAGGAAACCAATTAACGATGGGTTGTTTTCTGTCCATAGGTGGCAGCAGAAACCAGCAATTTCACCCTAGTGTACACAGTATCTCAGGGTAGGCTAATGATAAATTCGTGATTTTTTGTGTGGTAGTGGGCATCAACTAGGGAAGTATACCCAGAAATTTTCATAAAGATTGGTCAAGAGGAACTGAAGTTATTCACATTTTACTGATGGAACTCCGAACGGTACAATAAATCTGCAATTCATCCATATATTCGAATGTTGAATACTGCTGGAAAAATGATAATTCATGTTTTCAAACTGTCTGCGTCGATTTAAATTGATCTCCTATAAAATTCTTTATGAATACAAGTAAAATATCCAGATTCGTTTTTTTTTCTTACTGTAAAATCCTCTTAGTTGATCAACGAGTACAGTTGAACATCTAATTAAATCTCATCTTGATCGCAGCACCCGAAAAACAATATTTTGATAAATGACATGAAATAGATTTGCTTTCTATACTTTGAGTAATCTATAAAGCCAATAGAGCTACTTCTAATATCATTTTACAGACATTTATAGTCAGATGCTTGGGTTCAATAAATTATCTTGAGATTAGAAACAAAAAGACCTTTGAAGCTATTTCATCAAGTGATAACTATCTATGCTACTATATAAATCATACGTAGGGGAGGGAAGTTACCGTTACTACCTAGTTACGTTACCAGGTAACTAGTAACTCCAAAGTTACTAGTTACCGAGTAACTAGTAACGCCAAAGTTACTAGTTACCAAGTAACGGTAACGCTTTATAGACCCTTACCTGGTGACGTAATATTCGAACATCTTAAGGTATTCGAATATTACGTCGCCAGATAAGGGTCCATAAAACGTTACCGTTACTTGGTAACTAGTAACGCCAAAGTTACTAGTTACTCGGCAACTGGTAACTTCGGCGTTACTAGTTACTTGGTAACTAGTAACTTCGGCGTTACTAGTTACTTGGTAACTAGTAACTTTGGAGTTACTAGTTACTTGGCAACGTAACGGTAACTTCCCTCCCCTAATCATACGTAAGAGCCATTTCACTTAACCTATGATGCTCAATCGATTTTTTCTGAATTTTGATTTCAATTGCATCTATTAAAAGTACACCAAATAGTGAGTTTCGTGCGACCAATCGCATCTCGATAGCTCAAATCATCATTGGGATGTTCAATTTTTAATATGAGTTCCTTTTCTTTCGTCTGACGATGTTGATTTCACCAGTATCCACTGAGAACTGTGTTATTTCTGATTGACATGATGCAGAATGATGCAAATCTCAGGATAGATACATATTGAGTTGGCGTACAAAATAAAACTAACTCCAACTTTGGATGTCATTCTATATCTGGAATATAGGTGTCACGGATGTGGGTGAAAGTATCCTTGTGCTGAAGACCCACACCAACACTCACACTACGATTGTGCGGCTATATAATGACGAAAAGAAAACTTTAGATAATCAAGCACAACTCGAGTTATCGAACTTTTGGGAAAATGTACTGCGTTTTCAGTTGTTAGTTTACATATTTTCGTCGTATTTTTTCAACAAAACTGAAAAATAATATCATATTCGGAATCAGCATCAAAAACTGAGTCAGAAGACATATAATTTGTAAAAAAAATAGCTTGTCATCAAAAATTCACTTGAGGTGGATGACCGAGAAAAATTTTAAGAAAGCAGCTGAGAGGAATTTCGGATAACTGTGTAATAGAAAATTATTTTTTACAAACTAATTATACGTCATTTGAGTTAGGTTTTGATGCTAATTTCGAATATGACATTATTTTTCAGTTTTTGTTGAAAAAATACGACGAAAATATGTAAACTAAGAGCTGAAAACGCAGTACATTTTCCCAAAAGTTCGATAACTCGAGTTATGCTCGATTATCTAAAGTTTTCTTTTCATCATTATATAGCCGCGCAATCGTAGTGTGAGTGTCGGTGAGGGTCTTCAGCACAAAGATACTTTCACCCACATCCGCGACATCTATATCCCAGATATAGAATGATATATAAAGTTGGAGATGGTTTTATTTTTTACGCCAAATCAATATTTATCTATCCTGAGATTTGCATCATTCTGCATCATGTCAATCAGAAAAAACACAGTTCTCAGTGGATATCGGTGAAATCAACATCGTCAGACGAAAGAAAAGAAACTCATATTAAAAATTGAACATCTCAATGATGATTTGAGCTATCGAGATGCGATTGGTCGCACGAAACTCACTAATTGGTGTACTTTTAACAGATGTAATTGAAATCGAAATTCAGAAAAAATCTATTGAGCATCATAATTCATGGGTTAAGTGAAATAGCTCATAAGTAAAACAAAATACAAGATGATACGTACTAGAAAACTTTCACCTTTTTATAGGTCTTGTTGTTGGTTGTTTGCCTATCTATGGTTTGCGTCTATCAACATTTGAATGTCTCTACAACTCAACATGCTTACAGAGATTATCTAATTTGATTGATAGTATATACGACATTTCACCACCTCTCAATAGTTCGATATATACTCGTTTTACTCCAGTATCATCAACACCGATTGGTAAATTAATTGATGAATTATTTATTGAAGGATGGCAAAATGAAAGTAATTATTCGAATTATTTTCCGGTTTGTGCACCATTGACATGTCGATATACTTATGTGAAAAGGAACAATGCTCTTTATATATTAACCATATTTCTAGGTTTATATGGTGGATTAACAGTTGGCTTAAAACTTATTGTATGGTATAGTCTACATGTTTATTTGAAAGTACAGCAATGGTTGACTGTTCGTCGAAGACGTATTGAATCTATAAATCAAAGCTGATAATATTTGAAAAAAACAGAAACTATTGATATATTTATATATGTTGTTCAGAACTTGAATAATTTTACTCGAAATAAAATAGAACACTCGAAGGAAACCTTTTTATGATCATGATTTAGTAAGTATCTTCGAAGTTATCATATCCAAAGAGAAAAAGCATTTATTCTAATCTCATTAAGATAACTCTGATGAATCAGTAGTATACTACAAAGACAGTTTATATCTATATTATTGTTCAATTCCTATTTAGTAAGAGAATAAAAAATCTCAAGACAAGTTCAATAAGCATAAATGATACACATGATAATTTAAATAGTCATGCAGTTGAGGTAAATCAGATCATTACAACAAATTCTACTGAGAATAACTTTCAAAACTTCTCTGATTTCTCCATTACATCTTTAAGTATTTTTGTTGAGAGAAAAATGGTTCGTCTTTCTTTCGTCAACCTTTCATGTAAGATGACAAAAAAACCAAGCTAGTTTGACTAACAATTATACCACTTAATTAAAAGAAGGTCCCTGAAATCATCACCTAAAACAGTAAGAGCCATTTGCCGAAAAATGTTACTTTTTGAAATAAGTTTGCTAGTTTGAAAGAGCATAAAAAGTTACTTAAAAGCTCAGATTTTGACAATTTTTGGATAATGTCTTCTAATACTTCGGCCACCTAATAGTTTTCACCTAAAATATCTGTTTTTCAAAAACTATGGTTTTTCGATCATTTTTGTTTATGAATTTTTTCCTCACAAAAATTTGAACTAACCCATTACCAAATTATACCAATCGAGAGTGTAGGTGTGAGTGTGAGTGTGGATGAAGACAAGAACTACATCAAAACAGACGACCACACTCACACCTACATCCTACCCATACTCGCATCCACACTCTTTAGCGATCTTGTTTTATCAAAATTATCTCAAGAGCACGCCGTTGCTAGATTCTAGCATTTCGACCGTGCCGACATTCGAGAACTCGATATCTATCGACTTCACTCCTATATCGTTCTTGTCACTCAGGAGCCTATCTTATTCGATATCAGCATTGCTAAGAACATTGCATATGATCTGGAGAACGTTTCATCTGACGGAATGGTAGAAGCCGCGGTTAAACCAACATCCACCACTTTATACCGCAGCTACCTGAAGTTTGTGAAAAATAAGTTACGCTTCCATATGTACTCTAGTTTGTGTGAGTACGGCTATGAGACTCAAGTGGGCATGAAAACTAGTCGGTTATCAGGTGGCGAAAAGCAACGTGTTGCTATCACTCGAGCTCTTTTTTGTCATCCTAAATTGCTGCTTCTCGATGAAACCACTAGTGCTATGGACTCAAACGAAAGATTCAACTCAAA